TTTTATATATATTTTAAAGACAGGGGAATACAAGTATATATTTAGAATATTTTTTATTTATTATTAGGTTTTATTTTTTATTTACTTATTATTTTATTTGCCACTTTTTTCCTCCAAAGATAAACAGACGTAGGGTAAATCTATAAGCTCTAATAATAATAATAAATAATAAAATACAACATTTATAAATATATACTTAAATAATAACAAAATAATTATACAAAATATTAAAATGCAAAAAAGAAAAATTAGAAAAGCGTTTTGAAAAGATTTGAAATTTCAAAATTATTAGAAAAAAGTCAATTTATATTTATTTAATTTGTATTGACTTATTATTTAAATGTATTCGCCGCTTATTTCTTTCACAGATATCAGACAAACAATACTTAGGGTATATCCAGATGCTCAAATAATAATATTAATCATAATAATAATAAAAATAATAAAATACCCAAAAGAAAAATTCTCAAAAGAAAACGTATATCGAGCCCGATCGTCGATTTCCAATGATGTAATGTAATAGTTTGCCTCTCTGGCCATCGTCATCGGGCTCTTTGAAGATCCACAAATCCACGGTTTTCTTACATTTCTGATCGGATTGGCAAAAACTTCAGAATTTATATTGACCGCCATTCAAACGACAGCTTTGTTTTCCCCCAAAAGTGACGCATGTGTTACGGCCCGTCCACACAGCGGCGTGCGTTGAAGCTTGCCGGCGGGCGTGTCTGAAACTCGACCAACAACCAATCACATGAATCTCCCGCCCCTGACACACAAGCAGCGGTTTGATTGGCTAGAGCTTGTACTGGCATATGATTCGATTGGCTGACGCTTCTGCCGAGGCTTCAAAAGTTGAACATTGCTCAACTTTTGCAGCGAGCCACGCCAGCAAAGCTCTGCTTCGCTTCCCACAATGCAGTTCGGCGAAAAGTGACGTCACCCCATTTAAAGTGAATGGTGAAGCTTTCAACGCACGCCGCTGTGTGGACGGGCCGTTACTCTCAGGTATAGTGACATCCCATAATGATCTCGTCTCACTTGTGTTTCTGGATGTCCTTCACTCCATTTTTCTGATTGCCCAGCCGCTCTGAAGGATTGTCTCTGAGATAAAAAAAAAAAAAAAAGTTCAAACCAGTCGTCAGTTTTACTTTAATTTTCAATGAAGGGTAATTGATCACCTGCAGAGGCGTTTGATGAGGTTGGCGGCGCTTTTGGCGATTTTTTTGGGAAACTCGATCATGTCGATACCTCGCAGGATGATGTTGTACGTCTTCATGGGATCAGATTCTGAAAATGGAGGACTGAGGACAGAGGGGAAATGTTGATATTGCAAACAGTTGATATAAGTGTCTTTAACGGAGTGGTACTGAAGTGTCGTATTTCTGTGTTGGACCCTGAATGCAGCATCTCCCGGGTTCCCTCCACAAAAAGGCAACAGGATTTCTCCATTGGATTTTAAATGTGATGCAACAGGAAGCTGAGGATTAGGTTTCTATTTCAAAATAAAAGCCTCAGAGTGTAACTGTATCCTTTAGGCCCAATCCCAAACCACGCCCTACACCTATTTGGGCTATCAAGCCCTCAAACAGCGAGTCTGCATCGGTGCTGACTTGAGACCGGTCTCTACCTGACCGGAGTCACGCTGTGTGTGTCCGTCAGGAAACACGCTGTTTACAAACAGTTCCAGCAAACATCCACTGATAAATTACGATGTTAACAACCTCATGATAACCTCATATGTTTTTAACTTAGGATCGTACCTGTGTTTAGTCTAGAAAAAGGTAAATGTGTGCATTTTATTATAAAGTTGTGTATATTTACAGACTGTTGCAAAAACTAAGAAGCTTATAAACATCAGGTTTAAAACTAAAAGAGCTTTACAAAAAAGTAACACAATGAAAGATGTTTGGAGTTTTATTTGAGTTCTTAATTTACATTTTTTGTCTAAGAGATGCTGATTTGAAACCGTTGTTACATACAGTTACGGCATTTCCTGTTTCTGCCGGAGAGAGGGGAGTTTGTCCCAAAGCTTGCCGCTGTATTTACTCCCTCCAGCTGACAGGAGGGAGCCTCGTTGAGCTGCGAGTGTGGCTACAGACGGAGTTCACTCCGTCACGGAGGGGTAGGGTCGAGGGAGTGGTTTGGGATTGGGCCTTAAGCAAGATCAGGAAGAGACATGTATTCCAAAATAAAATAAGTAATTGTTACGTAACATAAAGCTCAGGATTAGGCTTGTTTTTCAAAATAAAAGCCTCATAGTGTAACTGTATCCTTAAAGGAAGCATGTATTTCAAAATAAAAGGCCTAGCAAGTCATTGTAACGTAACAGAAAGCTCAGGATTAGGTTTGTATTTCAAAAGACCCAGAGTGGGAATGTGGTGCCCCGAGGCTGTTTGGGTTAGCAGCTCTGTAGAAAACCATCAAAATGTGCAGCCCAACCTTTGATAGCCTACAGCAAACTATAATTGGGAATAAATGTGACTGACGGTGTGAAACTGAAATATTTCCAGCCTACCTGCCACTGAGCAGCTCAAAGACCAGTATTCCCAGAGACCAGCAGTCTGCAGAGCTGTCGTGGCCCTTATTCAGGATGATCTCAGGGGCCACGTACTCTGGAGTCCCACAAAACGTCCACGTCTTCTTACCCAGACCCACTTTCTTAGCAAAGCCAAAGTCCACCTGAAACGCAGAATGTTGACATTGAGAAGAATTGAGAATTTTAGCATTGTTGGGATTTTTCACCGTATGGTACTTCCATTACTCGCCAAATAAACTAGTACTCAAGTACTGACACTTTAACGTTGACAAACTAACCATTTAAATTACCAATATGAGATGAGTTTGTTCAGATAAGGCTATTTTTGGGGGACTTTTTTCTCAAAAAGAAACATACTGAAGATATGACAATTCTTTAAAAAATCTGTTATGATTTTTTGAAAAAATCTCAAAATTATAAATCTTTCTCAAAATCTCAAAATTCTGATTTCTGAATTTTCAGAAAATCTCAAAATTCTGACTTTTCTCAAAATGTTGAAAAATGTATCATGAAATATCAAGATTCTGACTTTTCTTAAAATTCTGACTTTTTCTCAAAATCTCAAGATTCTGCCTTATTTAGAAAATCTATAAATTCTGACTTTTTTTGAAAATCTATACATTTGGACTTTTTCTGAAAATCAAAAAATGTACAGATTTGACTGTCACGTGTCCTCCTGCAGTCACTAACAGAGGATGCTGTAAAACTAGAGAAGGTGAATGAGACGTGTGCAGACCAGCTTGGCGTATCCCCGCTGGTCCAGGATGATGTTCTCAGGCTTCAGGTCTCTGTAGATGATTCCTCTGCAGTGCAGGAAGGCCAGAGCCTCGACCACGCAGCCGGTGTAGAACCGAGTCACGCCGTCATCAAAAGATCCTCTGAAACACATTCAGAGCTGACGCTGAGGAAATCATGGACGTGAACACGCACAAAGTGTAAATCACTCACCTGTCTCTGAGCAGCGTCCACAGCTCTCCTCCCAGACACGCCTCCAGCAGCATGTACAGATATTTGGAGTCTCTGAAAGTCCGGTACAACCTGCAAGAAGAGGGTTTACAGTTTAATTTTAAGGAATAGTTCCATGTGAAAGTCTGAAAAGGAAAAATTCTGTTGTTTGTCCTACTGCTAACATTCCCAGTGTTAAGTGGGCATTGACAGCACTTGCAATATTGTTCCTTTCTGGGGCTTTTAATTTGAAAAACAGGACTGGCCCGGAGCGTCCTGAAAGCAGTTACTCAATGGGGCTTTTAATTTGAAAAACATGCACATTCCTGAGCTTCCTGTAGGTATAAAGTACATCTATTGGGCTTTTGTTTTGAAAAATATGCCTATTCCTGAGCTTCCTATAAGGTTACAGTAACTTAATGGTGCTTTTATTTTGAAAAAACATATATTTCGCGTTTTGTCTGTAAAAGGTTCTTCTATAGGACATATTTTATGTCACTTTGAAATCAGCAGGGACCAAAAGAAACTAGATATTATGCATCCGTCTATTTGATATCCCTTACAGACAATCCAGGAGAAAGTCACCTCTTGCCACGAAAGTGCTTCTTTAATTACAGCTGAATAAATCCTCAGCAGCACTAGAAAAAGGGAAGTAGTTTGACCTGATGATGAAGGGACTGTGAGCCTCCACCATGATGCGGCGCTCAGACAGGATGTGGCCCTGCTGGCTGGTGTCCATGATGTGACGCTTCTTCAACACTTTCAGGGCAAAAGATCTGCTGGTATCGCTCTTTAGTTGCACCTAAATATAGAAGAATGAGACCAGAAAGGTTAAAAAAGTGGTGCAGCACGGTCACATGACTTCACGTCACCACCGCTAAGCTAAAGGTGGCTAATGTTGGGCTATAAAGGACCTACAGCACGGTGTCATGACTTCACCTCACCACGCTAAGCTAAAGGAGGCTAATGTTGGGCTATAAAGGAACTACAGCACGGTCACATGACTTCACGTTTTCACCGCTAAGCTAAAGGTGGCTAATGTTGGGCTATAAAGGAACTACAGCACGGTCACATGACTTCACCTCACCACCGCTAAGCTAAAGGTGGCTAATGTTGGGCTATAAAGGAACTACAGCACGGTCACATGACTTCACGTCACCACCGCTAAGCTAAAGGCGGCTAATGTTGGGCTATAAAGGAACTACAGCACGGTCACATGACTTCACCTCACCACCGCTAAGCTAAAGGTGGCTAATGTTGGGCTATAAAGGAACTACAGCACGGTCACATGACTTCACGTCACCACCGCTAAGCTAAAGGCGGCTAATGTTGGGCTATAAAGGAACTACAGCACGGTCACATGACTTCACATCACCACCGCTAAGCTAAAGGTGGCTAATGTTGGGCTATAAAGGAACTACAGCACGGTCACATGACTTCACGTCACCACCGCTAAGCTAAAGGTGGCTAATGTTGGGCTATAAAGGAACTACAGCACAGTCACATGACTTCACGTCACCACCGCTAAGCTAAAGGTGGCTAATGTTGGGCTATAAAGGAACTACAGCACGGTCACATGACTTCACGTCACCACCGCTAAGCTAAAGGAGGCTAATGTTGGGCTATAAAGGAACTACAGCACGGTCACATGACTTCACGTCACCACCGCTAAGCTAAAGGTGGCTAATGTTGGGCTATAAAGGAACTACAGCACGGTCACATGACTTCACGTCACCACCGCTAAGCTAAAGGAGGCTAATGTTGGGCTATAAAGGAACTACAGCACGGTCACATGACTTCACGTCACCACCGCTAAGCTAAAGGTGGCTAATATTGGGCTATAAAGGAACTACAGTGCGGTCACATGACTTCACGTCACCACCGCTAAGCTAAAGGAGGCTAATGTTGGGCTATAAAGGAACTACAGCACGGTCACATGACTTCACGTCACCACCGCTAAGCTAAAGGTGGCTAATGTTGGGTTATAAGGAACTACAGCACGGTCACATGACTTCACCTTTATATTTGATATATTATATTTGATATATCATGCTTTCCTCACCAGCTCCACTCGACTGAAGCCTCCCATCCCCAGAGTGCAGATGGTGTTGAAACTACTCAGAGAAACACTGGAGAAGAAATCAGCTTCTGCCTGCAAACTACAGAGACCAGAGGAGGAAACAGGAATACATTACATGAGAAGCAACTCTCTTTCAAGGTGAGATGCTGTTAGTGAAGTCTCAATCGAAATGTAGCTCAAATTTCACCAAATGACCAGAAAATCATCAAAAGAAAAAGGGAATTAATGTCCGTTTCCATCCAATAATGTTATATAAAAACAGCTGAGCTAATTCTCCAGCTCGTGTCTATTAATTCCAAGTAGTTTGAATTAAAAAAGTACAATATTAAGCATGCTTATTGTTCATGTCCTCTCCTGCAGCTCTTATATAAACCTTATAATACTGAGCTCAGGAAGAGGCCTGTTTTTCAAAATAAAAGCCCCAGAAAGCAACAACACAGCTTTTCCATGAGTACTGACTTGGCTTTGACCTCGTCGCTGTCGAGCTGCTTGTTGTTGACGTCCTCCAGTCCTCCGATCAGCTGTTTGAAAGACCTTTAGGGACGCAGAGAATCTTTTTAAAGTGTTTATTTACTGGATTAAAATGATGTTCACGCTGAACAGAGAGCCTCACTCACTCTCTGTCGATCACCAGACATGTGACGTCTCCCACTGCCGTCACACTGGCTGTACGAACATCCTCCCTAAATGCAGAAAGGAAAGGAAATGCAGGATTCATTTCTGTGTCAGAGTACTGATTTACTACTTTAAAGAGTCCTCTCCTGCTGATGTCCAGGTGTATATCAGTATGTAGTGTCTCTACTTTAAAGAGTCCTCTCCTGCTGATGTTCAGGTGTATATCAGTATGTAGTGTCTCTACTTTAAAGAGTCCTCTCCTGCTGATGTTCAGGTGTATATCAGTATGTAGTGTCTCTACTTTAAAGAGTCCTCTCCTGCTGATGTTCAGGTGTATATCAGTATGTAGTGTCTCTCCTTTAAAGAGTCCTCTCCTGCTGATGTTCAGGTGTATATCAGTATGTAGTGTCTCTACTTTAAAGAGTCCTCTCCTGCTGATGTTCAGGTGTATATCAGTATGTAGTGTCTCTACTTTAAAGAGTCCTCTCCTGCTGATGTTCAGGTGTATATCAGTATGTAGTGTCTCTACTTTAAAGAGTCCTCTCCTGCTGATGTTCAGGTGTTTATCAGTATGTAGTGTCTCTACTTTAAAGAGTCCTCTCCTGCTGATGTTCAGGTGTATATCAGTATGTAGTGTCTCTACTTTAAAGAGTCCTCTCCTGCTGATGTTCAGGTGTATATCAGTATGTAGTGTCTCTACTTTAAAGAGTCCTCTCCTGCTGATGTTCAGGTGTATATCAGTATGTAGTGTCTCTACTTTAAAGAGTCCTCTCCTGCTGATGTTCAGGTGTATATCAGTATGTAGTGTCTCTACTTTAAAGAGTCCTCTCCTGCTGATGTTCAGGTGTTTATCAGTATGTAGTGTCTCTACTTTAAAGAGTCCTCTCCTGCTGATGTTCAGGTGTATATCAGTATGTAGTGTCTCTACTTTAAAGAGTCCTCTCCTGCTGATGTTCAGGTGTTTATCAGTATGTAGTGTCTCTACTTTAAAGAGTCCTCTCCTGCTGATGTTCAGGTGTATATCAGTATGTAGTGTCTCTACTTTAAAGAGTCCTCTCCTGCTGATGTTCAGGTGTATATCAGTATGTAGTGTCTCTACTTTAAAGAGTCCTCTCCTGCTGATGTTCAGGTGTATATCAGTATGTAGTGTCTCTACTTTAAAGAGTCCTCTCCTGCTGATGTTCAGGTGTATATCAGTATGTAGTGTCTCTACTTTAAAGAGTCCTCTCCTGCTGATGTTCAGGTGTATATCAGTATGTAGTGTCTCTACTTTAAAGAGTCCTCTCCTGCTGATGTTCAGGTGTATATCAGTATGTAGTGTCTCTACTTTAAAGAGTCCTCTCCTGCTGATGTTCAGGTGTATATCAGTATGTAGTGTCTCTACTTTAAAGAGTCCTCTCCTGCTGATGTTCAGGTGTATATCAGTATGTAGTGTCTCTACTTTAAAGAGTCCTCTCCTGCTGATGTTCAGGTGTATATCAGTATGTAGTGTCTCTACTTTAAAGAGTCCTCTCCTGCTGATGTTCAGGTGTATATCAGTATGTAGTGTCTCTACTTTAAAGAGTCCTCTCCTGCTGATGTTCAGGTGTATATCAGTATGTAGTGTCTCTACTTTAAAGAGTCCTCTCTCACCCTTTCAGAGCTTGCTCTCCAAACCAGTCTCCTTTGTTCAGGGTCTTCATCACCTGCTCGTCTCCAGGTGAGTTTTGCTGCGTCATCTTCACCTGTTCACACAGACACACATATTAAATAACAATTTGAAAAATGTGTTTGAAAAAATGTACTCATGTATAATCGCTTTTAGTTAAATAAAAAGGCCTCATATATTCTTTATGTGAAGGAAAAAATAAACGTATACATCCCATATTTAATCAAATGAAAGATCCACCCGTAATGCTTCCCTTCTCCTCCTCCTCCTCCTCACCTGTCCCTCGCTGATGATGAAGAACGTGTCTCCGGTGGCTCCCTGACGGATAATGTAATCACAGTCGCTGTAATGAGTCTGAGAGAGGACACACGTACGTCAGACATGTGAACACGTCAGATGGAATAACAGATACCGTATTCCTGCAAAGCTTTTTATAGAAGAGTTATTCACCTCTTCTAAAACATCGGCCAGTTTGCTGAGGATGTCCTCGGGAAGAGACTGCAAGGAGGGAACGCTGTAGAGAGTTAGGAAATGTGAGAAGAGAGGGTAGAAGTACACACATCCTGTACTCAAGTAGAAGTACACACATCCTTTCCTCAAGTAGAAGTACAGATACTCGTGTTTAAAAATACTCTGGTGAAAGTAGAAGTACTGACTAAACTTCTTTACTCAAGTCAAAGTAAAGAGGCTTTGAAATGTACTTCAGTAAAAAGTACCCATAACTAGCAGCTGTTTTAAAGAGTACCTGACCTCCCTTTATATTAATAGAACAATAATGTCATTGTTAGCTAATGAATGTTTCCATGCTGAACAACGGCAACATGACAACGTTTCCATTGGTCCCTCTTCTTTAGAGAAGACCAGGAAATGATGGATACACGGATCGTGTTCAAATCAATAGGCACGCAATGACTCTAAATAATAATGATCACGCCACCAAACACACATTCAAACTAAAGGAACCAGCCTGTTTGGGAAATGTGAGAAGTAGAGAGTACAGGTATTTGGGTTCAACATGTAAGAAGTAGAAAGTACAGGTATTTGTGTTCAACATGTAAGAAGTAGAAAGTACAGGTATTTGGGTTCAACATGTAAGAAGTAGAAAGTACAGGTATTTGAGTTCAACATGTAAGAAGTAGAAAGTACAGGTATTTGGGTTCAACATGTAAGAAGTAGAAAGTACAGGTATTTGTGTTCAACATGTAAGAAGTAGAAAGTACAGGTATTTGTGTTCAACATGTAAGAAGTAGAAAGTACAGGTATTTGTGTTCAACATGTAAGAAGTAGAAAGTACAGGTATTTGTGTTCAACATGTAAGAAGTAGAAAGTACAGGTATTTGGGTTCAACATGTAAGAAGTAGAAAGTACAGGTATTTGAGTTCAACATGTAAGAAGTAGAAAGTACAGGTATTTGTGTTCAACATGTAAGAAGTAGAAAGTACAGGTATTTGTGTTCAACATGTAAGAAGTAGAAAGTACAGGTATTTGTGTTCAACATGTAAGAAGTAGAAAGTACAGGTATTTGGGTTCAAAATGTAAGAAGTAGAAAGTACAGGTATTTGGGTTCAACATGTAAGAAGTAGAAAGTACAGGTATTTGTGTTCAACATGTAAGAAGTAGAAAGTACAGGTATTTGTGTACAACATGTAAGAAGTAGAAAGTACAGGTATTTGTGTTCAACATGTAAGAAGTAGAAAGTACAGGTATTTGTGTTCAACATGTAAGAAGTAGAAAGTACAGGTATTTGGGTTCAACATGTAAGAAGTAGAAAGTACAGGTATTTGGGTTCAACATGTAAGAAGTAGAAAGTACAGGTATTTGTGTTCAACATGTAAGAAGTAGAAAGTACAGGTATTTGTGTTCAACATGTAAAAAGTAGAAAGTACAGGTATTTGTGTTCAACATGTAAGAAGTCAAAGTAAAAAGTAATCAGAGAAATAAGTAGTGGAGTAAAGTACTGATACCAGAAACATGTACTTAAGTACAGGAACAAAGTATTTGTACTCCAATACTTCCCACCTCTGCATGTGAGTCATGGTAATGTGGAGATTATTACAACTGTGAAGTGTGTGTGTGTGTGTGTGTGTGTGTGTGTGTGTGTGTGTGTGTGTGTGTGTGTGTGTGTGTGTGTGTGTGTGTGTGTGTGTGTGTGTGTGTGTGTGTGTGTGTGTGTGTGTCAAATGCTGCCTCTCAAATGTGAAGCTGCACTTTCTCTGTTTCATATCATATTAAAGAACACGTCTTTGGGTTTTGGACTGACGACAACACATTTGAAGACCTTGGACTTTGAGGAATCAAAAGGACATTTAATAGTTTTTAAATCTGACAAAAAATATTCTGCTTTGGTACGTCTTTGTTTGCTGAGGATGTCCTCGGGAAGAGAGTTTGTAAATGTGAGTCATTTTAATGTGGAGAGGATTACAACTGTGAAGTGTGTGAAGTGTGTGTGTGTGTGTGTGTGTGTGTGTACCTGCGCAGGTAGTCTGTGTATTGCGAGTGTTTGATGAGGCTGGTTCTCATCATGATGGTCTGGAAACACTGCCTGTCGATCGCCCAGAGCTTGATGTCAGTCAGAGCTGTACACACACACACACACACACACACACACACACACACACACACACACACACACACACACACACACACACACACACACACACACACACACACACACACACACACACACACACACACACACACACACACACACACACACACACACACACACACACACACACACACACACACACACACACACACACACACACACACACACACACACACACACACACACACACACACACACACACACAGTAAATCAATCTGTTATATAAATGTATTGATTACCATCTTCACTCACTTCATTCTCTATTAATATACCTCTCCTATGAGACCAGGGTTGTTCTGTGGGAGCCAATGGGAGCTGAGCTCTCATAAGGAGGGTCTGAGCTCCAATGAAAGCAGTGAAATCAAACATCTGTGGGGGTCGCTAATACATGACCAACAACCATTATTTTAATCACAAATAATGCATGTGTCAATGTAACAAGGTAATGAGGTAAATAGGCTAAAAGAAAAACAAAATTAATTATTGCGCAATCTATGTCCTTCATGCATCATGTTTATATTTACATGCTAAGCTGTTAGCCCTCTCTGAACCCTTCGTCATCCTCCTCTTCCTCACCCTCCTCTCTGCAGAAAGTGGAGAGCTCTTCATATCTCTCAGATATTATTCTACAACAAACCCATCACTGTTGCACAGGACCACCAGTCCATCTGCATGGAGTCAGGGCAATGCCATTCATTCATATGGATTCATGTATAAGTATATATATCTATATGTATTGTTTCATAATGTCTTCTGGAGGCGAGCTTCATCTGCCGCCAGGAGGAGAGGTTTCTCAATTAAATTCATTTATGCAGAAAAACACAATATTAAAGAGTCCCTGTTCTGCTTTTGGGAGTGTCCCCTCTCCTGTAGTGTGGCCTATAGTGCATGTGAATGGTCTGCAAAGGCTTAAATCTCCCACAAATCTCCCCCTAATTGGCTCCTATTGGCACTTGCACTCCAACATATCGCACGTGATAAAGACAGAGAGATCCAAATACCCTTTCCCACCATCCCAAATGTCTGCAGCTCTCTACAACAGATGTATCTCTACGTGAGTTTCTGAACCGTCTCTCTCCCTCAGTGAGTTCCTTTGTGGCGTAAGACAAACTACTGTTAATGTAAGTTAATTTAAGTTTATGGTCATTACCTTATATCAAAAATAATGTACAGATATCGTGAAATAATGGTCTCACAGTTTGGATATCGTAATAACTGTTTAAGCTTTACCTATTTAGCCGTTATCTCCACATTATTAATGATTATTAGGCACAAATCTTCCGTAAAGGCACCAATAGTTAACCCTGCAATATCATAACAAGATCAATATTGAGGTAAATTTCATTCGCAATATTGTATATTTTGACTTTGTCCATCTCGTCCAACCCTAGATGAAGAGTGTTTACTTCATGCTGATTTAAGTGTCATCATTTCAGTCAAGATTGCCGATTAGAAACTGATGTGATTATAACAAAAATGAAACATCAGGAAGCTGAGGTTGTTAAAAGTCGAAGATCAGATGTTAAAGAGCATTTCTGCAAAAACTACAAAAATGTATTTCATCCAACAAAAAATATGGTTTAAGTTTACTTACTTTACTTGAATACATTATACTGACGGTGCCATTTCTATAGTTTGTGGTATTCAAAGTATTCATGTAAGTCAATGTGAGGTACTGTGAGGTCATGTAAGTCAATGTGAGGTAATGTGAGGTCATGTAAGTCAATGTGAGGTAATGTGAGGTCATGTAAGTCAATGTGAGGTACTGTGAGGTCATGTAAGTCAATGTGAGGTACTGTGAGGTCATGTAAGTCAATGTGAGGTACTGTGAGGTCATGTAAGTCAATGTGAGGTAATGTGAGGTCATGTAAGCGAAGGAGAAAAAGAGAGCGTTCATTTGAAAGCAGGCATCAGCGAGCAGCAGCAGGAGATTCTCATTTTGAGCGTTAAAGTTGTATTATTGTTTTTCATATCAGTCTCAGAGCTCTGATCAGTGTTCTAGCTTAGCTTAGCATAAAGACTGGGAGCCAAAGCTAAATAAATACACCTACCAGACAATACCAATGTGCAATCAATTAGCTTAGCTTAGCATAAAGACTGGAAACGGATGGGAACAGCTAGCCACACACAAATCCAACTGCAATGATAGTTTCTATTTTCTTTACTGAGTCTTTAAGGAGTCGTGGAAAACCCATTTAAATGCTGAACAGCGACCTTGAATTTCTGAAATCAATGAGAGAAACATATTTCATGTGTCTTTCTTTTGGAGTTTTCTAACCAGTGGAGAGATTTAAACTGTGATCGCGGTCGACCTTCATCCGTTTCCATTTGTTAGCGGGTAAATAAATGTCTTTGCACCGTGAAAGCATTTCTTAAAAGCTGAATGTATTTCATCTCCTGCAGCATTGATGGACGTGCCGAACTTCTGTCGGGGTCATCGGACAATTTCAACATTTCTGAAAGATAACTGGCTTTTTGTCGGGAAGAGCTTGGTGTAAAATGTGTGTGTGTGTGTGTGTGTGTGTGTGTGTGTGTGTGTGTGTGTGTGGGGTGTAGTGGAGTACAAATACGTCGTTACTGTACTCAAGTACATGTTTCTGGTATCAGTACTTTACTCCACTACTTATTTTTCTGACGACTTTTTACTTCTCACATGTTGAACACAAATACCTGTACTTTCTACTTCTTACATGTTGAACACAAATACCTGTACTTTCTACTTCTTACATGTTGAACCCAAATACCTGTACTTTCTACTTCTTACATGTTGAACCCAAATACCTGTACTTTCTACTTCTTACATGTTGAACCCAAATACCTGTACTTTCTACTTCTTACATGTTGAACCCAAATACCTGTACTTTCTACTTCTTACATGTTGAACCCAAATACCTGTACTTTCTACTTCTCACATTTTCCAAACAGGCTGGTTCCTTTAGTTTGAATGTGTGTTTGGTGGCGTGATCATTATTATTTAGAGTCATTGCGTGCCTATTGATTTGAACACGATCCGTGTATCCATCATTTCCTGGTCTTCTCTAAAGAAGAGGGACCAATGAAAACGTTGTCATGTTGCCGTTGTTCAGCATGGAAACATTCATTAGCTAACAATGACATTATTGTTCTATTCATATAAAGGGAGGTCAGGTACTCTTTAAAACAGCTGCTAGTTATGGGTACTTTTTACTGAAGTACATTTCAAAGCCCTCTTTACTTTGACTTGAGTAAAGAAGTTTAGTCAGTACTTCTACTTTCACCAGAGTATCTTTAAACACGAGTATCTGTACTTCTACTTGAGTAAAGGATGTGTGTACTTTTGCCATCTATGTGTGTGTGTGTGTGTGTGTGTGTGTGTGTGTGTGTGTGTGTGTGTGTGTGTGTGTGTGTGTGTTACCTGTTACAGTAGCAGTGCGGGTGCAGTTGTACAGGATGGCCAACTCTCCGAAGACTTTCCCCTCTCCAATCGAACACAGAGTCTTTCCTTGTTTCGTCACCTCCACGGTTCCCTCTGTGAACACACACCAACACACACTGAGTCTAACACACACCAACACACACTGAGTCTAACACACACAAACACACACTGAGTCTAACACACACCAACACACACTGAGTCGAACACACACCAACACACACTGAGTCTAACACACACCAACACACACTGAGTCTAACACACACCAACAAACATTGAGTCTAACACACACCAACACACACTGAGTCTAACACACACCAACACACACTGAGTCTAACACACACCAACACACACTGAGTCTAACACACACCAACACACACTGAGTCTAACACACACCAACACACACTTAGTCTAACACACACCAACACACACTGAGTCTAACACACACCAACACACACTGAGTCTAACACACACCAACACACACTGAGTCTAACACACACCAACACACACTGAGTCTAACACACACCAACACACACTGAGTCTAACACACACCAACACACACTGAGTCTAACACACACCAACACACACTGAGTCGAACACACACCAACACACACTGAGTCTAACACACACCAACACACACTGAGTCGAACACACACCAACACACACTGAGTCGAACACACACCAACACACACTGAGTCTAACACACACCAACACACACTGAGTCTAACACACACCAGCGTGTGACCAGCCAGTTTATCACTTTACACACAAACCAGACAATGGCGTCACTATGATATCGACTCAAGACGTTTGAATCTGTCCACAACTGGCATTTTGACTAAAAGGACTCCTCATTAAAGTGTTGATTAGCACATTTATCTTTACTGCAATTAACACTTATAATTCCATCTGAAATATACTCCTCACCCTCCAGGACGTAAACCGTGGAGCCGTCGTCTCCCTCCTGGATCACACAGCAGCCTTTAGTCAGGCTGGTGGGATGCATGCAGTCCATGATGGTGAGGATCTGCAAGAGACAAAACATCAAACAATAATAGAGGGATGTAGTATTTCTGTGTGTGACCCTGAAGGCAGCATCTCCCTGGTTACAACACTTTATGATTTCTGAAGTGAAAAGCTTCAAAGAGTATACACCGCTAAGCTAAAGGTGGCTAATGTTGGGCTATGAAGGAACTACAGCACGGTCACATGACTTCACGTCACCACCGCTAAGCTAAAGGTGGCTAATGTTGGGCTATGAAGGAACTACAGCACGGTCACATGACTTCACGTCACCACCGCTAAGCTAAAGGTGGCTAATGTTGGGCTATGAAGGAACTACAGCACGGTCACATGACTTCACGTCACCACTGCTAAGCTAAAGGTGGCTAATGTTGGGCTATAAAGGAACTACAGCACGGTCACATGACTTCACGTCACCACCGCTAAGCTAAAGGAGGCTAATGTTGGGCTATAAAGGAACTACAGCAGGGTCACATGACTTCACGTCACCACCGCTAAGCTAAAGGTGGCTAATGTTGGGCTATAAAGGAACTACAGCACGGTCACATGACTTCACGTCACCACCGCTAAGCTAAAGGTGGCTAATGTTGGCCTATAAAGGAACTACAGCACGGTCACATGACTTCACGTCACCACCGCTAAGCTAAAGATGGCTAATGTTGAGCTATAAAGGAACTACAGCACGGTCACATGACTTCACGTCACCACCGCTAAGCTAAAGGTGGCTAATGTTGGGCTATAAAGGAACTACAGCACGGTCACATGACTTCACGTCACCTCCGCTAAGCTAAAGGTGGCTAATGTTGGGCTATAAAGGAACTACAGCACAGTCACATGACTTCACGTCACCACCGCTAAGCTAAAGGTGGCTAATGTTGGGCTATAAAGGAACTACAGCACGGTCACATGACTTCACGTCACCACCGCTAAGCTAAAGGCGGCTAATGTTGGGCTATAAAGGAACTACAGCACGGTCACATGACTTCACGTCACCACCGCTAAGCTAAAGGCGGCTAATGTTGGGCTTTCAAGGAACTGCAGCACGGTACCTGTCCGTGTTCCAGATGTTTCATGAAGTCGTTGTCCATCAGAGCTCTCTGGATCAGATCACTGGACCTGTAGAGACACACAAAGGTCAGTGTGTGTGTGTGTGTGTGTGTGTGTGTGTGTGTGTGTGTGTGTGTGTGTGTGTGTACTCTTTGCTCTTGGAGTAGCTCTTCAGGGTAACATCAGTCAGCTGTGAGGGGTCCAGCACTGTCGGCTCTGCAGAGATCGCTTGTCTCTTTGTGCGCTGAGGCTCATCAGCTGCTGGAGGCTGAACACCTGAAAACACACACACACACACACACACACACACACACACACACACACACACACACACACACACACACACACACACACACGACAATTTTCAGGTGTTTTCTTGTCCTTTTATTCTTTCTGTAAGCGTTGATGTTATGAATGTTGAATGTTCCCTTTTTGTCTTTTTCTGGCAATTTCTGTGTGTTTTTGTGGATGTTTTTTGTGTCCTTGTTGTCATTTTGTAAACAAATCTTTTTCTGTATGTCTTAATATTGATTGCGTGAATCTAAATAGTCATTTCATGTCTTCTTTTTACTGTATTTGAGTGTCTTTGTGGTCATTTTGTGTCTTTTCAAAGTCTTTTCATGTCTTTATACTAATATAAGTGTCTCTTTTCACTCATTGAGTCTCTAAATTCTCAATTGCCTGTTATTCTTATATTCAGTGCTCTCTCTTCTTGCTCCTGAGTTCATGGCTTCAACTTTTTTTACATGTTTGTATCTCCATCTATAAAGCAAAGAGCTGAGATGAAATGACTCTCAGGTCCAGGTTATAAAACAGACAAAATAAAACAGAGAGAGTGTGTGGGTGCGTCATGAATTTATAATAACACACTCTTGGTGGATTTTTATAGGCGGTATTTTTAGGCATGTAACTAAATCATTTAACATCCCACCAAAAATGTATTGTGCAAGTAGTACTCAGAATATGTGTGTCTCTTTGTAGTAACTGTTAGTGTCTTTGTATTGTTCGTCTATTATGTATCACAGGATATCATCTTGTCCTGTTTTTATCCCTCTCTCTGCCTCAGGTAAACTCACCTGTATCCTCGGCCCCGCGCCCCCCCCCGCTCTGCTGGCCCCCCCGCTGCCGGTCCAGCTCCTCCTGCAGGAGGCGGATCAGATCGTCTTTGGTGTCCAGCTCCAGCTCCAGATCATCGATCAGAGCGTCTCTCTGTCTCAGCTCCTCGATCTTCAGCTGAAGAGCCAGCTGCAGGTCCCTCAGAGTGCCTTTACACGGCGCCATGTACAAGTACACACAGATACTGCAGTACTACAGGAAAATACACAAAGAGTTACAGCTGCAGGTCCCTCAGAGTGCCTTTACACGGCGCCATGTACAAGTACACACAGATACTGCAGTACTACAGGAAAATACACAAAGAGTTACAGCTGCAGGTCCCTCAGAGTGCCTTTACACTGCGCCATGTACAAGTACACACAGATACTGCAGTACTACAAGTACACAGAGACTGCACTACTAAAAGTACACAGAGACTGCAGTACTACAAGTACACAGATATACTGCAGTACAAGTACACAGATATACTGCAGTACTACAAGTACACAGATATACTGCAGTACTACAAGTACACAGATATACTGCAGTACAAGTACACATATATACTGCAGTACTGAACAGACTGGTAAGGAAGGCCAGCTCTGTCCTGGGGAGTCCTCTGGACACTGTGGAGGAGGTGGGAGACAGGAGAGTGGCCAAGCTGTCCTCCCTGCTGGACAATGTGCCCCCCCCCCCCTCCCCTCCAGGACACCCTGTCCTCACTGTGCAGCTCCTTCAGCGACAGGCTGCTGCACCCCCGCTGTCTCACGGAGAGATACCGCAGGTCCTTCCTTCCTGCAGCGGTCAGACTAACCAGCACAGCCCCTAGTAGACCCCCCCCCTCCCTACACACACCACAACACAGACTATATCACCCCTTGCTGCTAAATACCAATCAACTATGTGCAATATGTGCTATATGTGCAATATATATATATGCCGTTAATAACTGTGTAATATATACCTGGCTGCTAAATCCTAAGAACTGTTACAGGATGTGTATTTTGGAAAGTATTTTTCTTTTTCTTTTACTTTTATTTTTTATATTATATTTGTATTATATCATAACTTAGTACTTTTTTCTTAACATAGGTAACATGAAGCTGTCTGTGGCTCTTTGCTGCTGTAACGATGCAAATGTCCCCTCTGTGGGACTAATACAGGTATTCTGATTCTGATACAAGTACACAGAGACTGCAGTACTACAAGTACACAGAGACTGCACTACTACAAGTACACAGAGACTGCAGTACTACAAGTACACAGAGACTGCACTACTACAAGTACACAGAGACTGCAGTACTACAAGTACACAGAGACTGCACTACTACAAGTACACAGAGACTGCAGTACTACAAGTACAGAGATATACTGCACTACTGCAAGTACACAGAGACTGCAGTACTACAAGTACACAGAGACTGCACTACTACAAGTACACAGGGACTGCAGTACTACAAGTACACAGAGACTGCATTACTACAAGTACACAGAGACTGCACTACTACAAGTACACAGAGACTGCAGTACTACAAGTACAGAGATATACTGCACTACTGCAAGTACACAGAGACTGCAGTACTACAAGTACACAGAGACTGCACTACTACAAGTACACAGGGACTGCAGTACTACAAGTACACAGAGACTGCAGTACTACAAGTACACAGAGACTGCAGTACTACAAGTACACAGAGACTGCACTACTACAAGTACACAGAGACTGCACTACTACAAGTACACAGAGACTGCAGTACTACAAGTACACAGAGACTGCACTACTACAAGTACACAGGGACTGCAGTACTACAAGTACACAGAGACTGCAGTACTACAAGTACACAGAGACTGCAGTACTACAAGTACACAGAGACTGCACTACTACAAGTACACAGAGACTGCACTACTACAAGTACACAGAGACTGCACTACTACAAGTACACAGAGACTGCACTACTACAAGTACACAGAGACTGCACTACTACAAGTACACAGAGACTGCACTACTACAAGTAAACAGAGACTGCAGTACTACAAGTACAGAGATATACTGCACTACTGCAAGTACACAGAGACTGCAGTACTACAAGTACACAGAGACTGCACTACTACAAGTACAGAGATATACTGCACTACTGCAAGTACACAGAGACTGCAGTACTACAAGTACACAGAGACTGCACTACTACAAGTACACAGGGACTGCAGTACTACAAGTACACAGAGACTGCAGTACTACAAGTACACAGAGACTGCAGTACTACAAGTACACAGAGACTGCACTACTACAAGTACACAGAGACTGCAGTACTACAAGTACACAGGGACTGCAGTACTACAAGTACACAGAGACTGCAGTACTAAAAGTACACAGGGACTGCAGTACTACAAGTACACAGAGACTGCACTACTACAAGTACACAGGGACTGCAGTACTACAAGTACACAGAGACTGCACTACTACAAGTACACAGGGACTGCAGTACTACAAGTACACAGAGACTGCAGTACTACAAGTACACAGAGACTGCAGTACTACAAGTACACAGAGACTGCAGTACTACAAGTACACAGAGACTGCACTACTACAAGTACACAGAGACTGCAGTACTACAAGTACACAGAGACTGCACTACTACAAGTACACAGGGACTGCAGTACTACAAGTACACAGAGACTGCAGTACTAAAAGTAAACAGAGACTGCACTACTACAAGTACACAGAGACTGCAGTACTACAAGTACACAGAGACTGCACTACTACAAGTACACAGAGACTGCAGTACTACAAGTACACAGAGACTGCACTACTACAAGTACACAGGGACTGCAGTACTACAAGTACACAGAGACTGCAGTACTAAAAGTAAACAGAGACTGCACTACTACAAGTACACAGGGACAGCACTACTACAAGTACACAGAGACTGCACTACTACAAGTACACAGAGACTGCACTACTACAAGTACACAGAGACTGCACTACTACAAGTACACAGGGACTGCACTACTACAAGTACACAGGGACTGCACTACTACAAGTACACAGAGACTGCACTACTACAAGTACACAGGGACAGCAGTACTACAAGTACACAGAGACTGCACTACTACAAGTACACAGGGACTGCAGTACTACAAGTACACAGGGACTGCAGTACTACAAGTACACAGAGACTGCACTACTACAAGTACACAGGGACTGCACTACTACTAGTACACAGGATAAGAGGAAAATAATAAGTAATAAAGTGTTATAAAAGAATACATGTAACATTAAAGTGAACTTCTGGTATGAAGTGAGTTAAACAACTAAAGCTCAGAGTGATATTTGATCCTGAATATGAAATCTTTATCTGCAGCTTCACGGCATGAAATGATCGTTACTCACTTTTCTTTGAGAGTCCGGATCTCTGCGCGAGGAAGGAGCTCCGAGCCGTTTGAATCTGTGTGTTTGAATCTAAAGATATTGACTGTTCGCCTCCTGCATGGTTAAGAAGATACCGGTGAGTCCTCGGGTTGTTTTAAAGCAGGAATGATCCGCAGCAGCAGCAGAAGAGGAAGAGTCGGAGCTCCGCAGCTGATTCTGACAGCACTCCTACAAAAATAAAAGTCGCTCCGCTGATTTTATTTTGAAGTTCTGTTCAAAATTCACAGCTGCAGCTTAAAGTGGACACACATGAAGTTAACTGAAGCAGACGATACATTACAGGATATGCTATTATATAAGATTAAAATTAAAATCAGAGACCATAAAAACATTTGTATTCATTCATAACAAGCGAAATAATATTGATATGAATAATTATTATGAATAGGGTTTAAACTGTATTAAAAAAAAACTCTTGTGAAATATGTAAATGTCACTTATTTTTATACTTTTTGCTAATGTTATATATTTTTTAAGCCAATTTATTATCGTGGTATCGCTGCTTTTATTTAAATAAGTAAAATAAAATGTGTTTTACTGTCCTAAACATATATCATATTAATTGAAAAAATATTAAAATGATCTTATTATTATTATAATTATTATAATTATCATTACTGTTACAATAATAATAATAATATGAATATGAATAATCATATTTCTTATGAATATTCCTGGCTGCAGTACCGCCCTCCGCCGCTCCGGGGCAGCAGCGCTTCGTGAGTAAAACTCCAACCGGAAGTGCTGCTTTATTGACTTTCTGTAAACAAACACGATGGCGGCGACGGACAGAGAAATGAATCCAGAATCGGAGAAACTGCAGTTGTATCCTTTAAATCTGCTCCTAATGTTAATATTTAAATCTTATCTGTAGTTTAAAGTCTTCTTCTAGTGTTTGGTTTAAACAATGCCCTGTTAGCTTTCCTTCATTAGCACAATGCTACATGTTTCTGTTGTTTCTGTTAGCTTCGCTGGGATTCATGGAGAATAATATATCATGTTTGACTTTAATGAGTATTTAAATCTAAGTGTGAGATGGATCTGACTGGTTCTGAAACGGGGTAAGAGTGTCTGTTAGTGAGCTGAATGTCTGAATGTTTTTATTAAAGCTGCTATTACAAGTTAATTCAGTTTATTGCCACCTGTTAGGGTTTATAAATAAAGAATGAGACGTTGTGTATTAAAACCTGAAACACCGTCTAATCTCAAGTAGGTTTACAGAAGAACAAAGACAAGCAATAAGCTCAGACATAGAGACAAGACAGTTAGAGATATGTAAGTCATAATAATATATTTAATGTATATAGCGCCTTTCAAGGGACCCAAGGCCGTCATGGTGAGGGGCGAGGAGAGACTTGTACGTGAGGAGGAGGGGTTTGCACTGAGAGCCAGGGAAGGTGTATTTAAAATACTGCAGAAGTACATGTTGCTGAGTACTTGTACCTAAAGTACACGTAGCTGATTAGACTAGTAGTTAGTTTATGTGTAACGGAGTGTCAGCAAAAACAACAACAACACAAGGCATTGCACATAAGTAGAAATAAACAATACTAGAATTTAAACATCTCAAAATAGAATTAAAACATTATTAAAAAGTAGAAAATGTACAGGAGACCGTACCGTATGTCTAATTTGAATCGTGTGAACTCTTATCTGTTGCTGCTGTGACTCCTACATGTCCCTACTGGGGGTTAAAAGGTATTTGATCTTCATGTTTGTGATGAAGTTAGTTGTTTGTACCCTAAGCCCCTCCCCTCAGCCGGCTGGACGTCCCCTTCCCCTCCCCCAGAGACGCCTCCATCGCTCTGGGCTCTCTGTCTCCAGACCGAGAGCCCAGGAAGGGAGGGATCAACAAACAGCTGATGGTGACGGACAGGACGCTGACTGTGTGAGGACACACACACACACACACACACACACACACACACACACACACACACACACACACAGACACACAGACACACACACGCACAGTCACACACAGTCACACACACACACACACGCAGTCACACACAGCCACACACAGTACACACACACACTACACAGTCACACACACACACACACAGTCACACACAGTCACACACACACACACACAGTCACACACACACACACAGTCACACACAGTACACACACACACAGTCACACACACAGTCACACACACACACACACACAGTCACACACAGTCACACACAGTCACACACAGTCACCACACACACACACACACACACACAGTCACACACACACAGTCACACACAGTCACACACACACACAGTCACACACAGTCACACACACACAGTCACACACACACACACACACACACACACACACAGTCACACACACACACAGTCACACACACACAGTCACACACAGTCACACACAGTCACACACATCACACACACAGTCACACACACACACACACACACACACACACACACACACACACACACACACACACACACACACACACACACACACACACACACACACACACAGTCTAACCTCCTCCTTCTTCTTCTTCTGTGTTTCAGGAGGTGGAGTGCTGACGAGGCTCGGATCCTCCGGGTCTCTGTGAACTCTTTCCTGGATAATCTGTCGCTCGTCCTGGAGACCATGCAGATGTTCGCCCCCCCCGCCTCGCAGTGACACACACACACACACACACACACACACACACACACACACACACACACACACACACACACACACACAGCTGGATCCCGAGAGGACCGTTTGAAGGAAGCGTCTGGAAGCTTCACCTGTGGGAGGATTTTTATTTAAACTTCTTTTGTAAAAAAACAAATAAAAAGCAGCTGATCAAAAAGATATCGTTTGTACTGGATCTGAAACAAGTAGTTTAAAGGTGGGGTAGGTAAGTTTGAGAAACCGGCTCGAGATACACTTGTTGTTATATTCCATGGAATGCTCTTAACATCCTGATAGCAATGAATATCTGAAGTGCTTTGACAACAAATCCATAAATAAACATCATCTGTGGAAGCTGTAGTACTGTAAAAAGCACGACCAATCATCTGAGCCGGCCCGGCTAAAATAACTGGATGGCCTACCTGCCTGTCAGCCTTCCATCTGTGCACAAACTTATCTCGTGCCCTCATTGGTCATGTGCTCGTTCGTGTGTGTTGGAGGAGGGGCTCTGTAAGGAATTGGCAGATTTTCTCCGGTTGTGTATTTTCAAATTCTAGCGATCTCGAGCCGGTTTCTCAAACTTACCTACCCCACCTTTAATCTGAGAGTTAAACTGTTTGATTGTAAATGTTTAGGTAGGTAGGTAGGTAGGTAGGTAGGTAGGTAGTTAAATATGATATAAATGTATGCAGTTCAGTCTCCTCTCTGAACAAACAGGGGGGGTCATGCAGAGTAATTATTTGACTATATTATTTACCATAAATACAACCAAAGATTAGCAGGTTAGACCCAGTACTAAAATCATTTTGTGTCTGGGTTGTAACAATAAATACATAATATGATATTGGGGGTCATGCAGAGTAATTATATCTGATATGATATATTATATGGCAAATTCAAAGAAAGTTTAAAGAAAACATTCCAACAAGAAGAAAACCATGAATAAATATCCACAGAGCTTTCTGGATTATTAAAGTAGTTTTATTTTTTATGTTTTTTTGGTCACATAGTAGACGACGTGTGATACAACATTAAGCAAACGGATCATAGGAACGGCCATTTACTAAAAAGAAAAAAAACTAAATATTTCTTCACAAAATGAAGCACAATTCTTAATAAATGAAATCAATGAACTTTTATGTAATAAACACAATTCCTGATTACAACACAATCTCAATACTTGGAAAATAGGAATCTTTTTTTATTTACAACACTAATTAAACTTCTTGCTGATTACCACACGGGGCAAAATACTTGTAAGTTAGGAGGAGGTTTTAATGACTAAATCAGGCAAAAGTCTTATGGATTTAAGGAAAAGGGCAAAATAGAAAAATGGGCAGAATTCTTAAAAACCCCCCTCAAACAATCACAACCACATAATATCAAAATGAATTACAACTCAAATAAAACAAATCCTTAACGATATATAATAAGCGCAAATCTTGATTACAAAACTAAGCTCAGCAAATAGGACTTCATTTAATATAAAAACATTTATTTTAACAAATTAAAATCAATTAAAACAAATGACTTCAAAGCAAAACTTCTTATGAAATAAAAAAACATTTGTTAATTGCAAAAATGTCAAAAATACTTCTGAAATCTTTAAACACGAAAAGCGTTGGAAGTATTCATTTTTTTTTAAAATTTGTATTATAATAATTTTCAAGCAACATTTCTGGCTAAACTTCTCACACCATTTTATAAAACTGAGCTTTGAATGCTTGTTGAAATAAAAAAAGAAATGAAAAACACCAACTCTCGATGTGCTCAACTCCACCAGCAGGTGGCGCTGTAACACCTTTCTCCTGTTCTCTCTGGACTCATTGGCATCAGGTATTGCAATGTAGATTTCAGAGGATATTTGACTAGTTTTATTAAACATATAACATTATTCAGCCGGGGTTGCTGTGTCTTTGGTTTCAAACTGCACCGACTGCTTTGACTTTTCAAATTCAACCAAATGTGTGAGTTGTTAAAGATCTACGTCTTCAGAAGGAACCAATGGGCTTGGAGCTGACAGGAAGTCAGAAAAGACATATTGATGGTGTGTGTGTGTGTGTGTGTGTGTGTGTGTGTGTGTGTGTGTGTGTGTGTGTGAGAGGGTGGGTGTTTCTCAATCGCGAGTAAAGCTGCTGCAGAGCCACTATTTCAAGCATACTACGTCATCGAGTGCCGCCGAAGTACTGTTCCAATCTCCAGCATACTTGGAAATCTACCGAGCCCGGCGTACTCCGTTTGGAGAAATATCGAGGCTGCACATGAGTAGACTCCGCGGTCTTAAAATCCCCACAATGCTTTGCGCACGGACCAATTTCCCCAAATCTGTGGCGGAAGATGTAAGGCGGGGCCTCTCATATGACGCACACCTGCACACTTGCTAGCGTGTTCCACACTTCGTTTTCCGAATGCCAGGAAGTATTCTTGACTCGCTTCTGAAGCAAGATGCTCGGCAGACATGTGCTACCAAGCAAGCGTACTCGCGATTGAGAAACACCCGAGGTCTTTGGAGCTGCTACTCTGCTCCCGGAGCTCCTTCCTCTTCTGCAGGAATATCCAGGTTATCATAAACCGGCTCAATGTCCTCATAATCCAGCTCAATGTCCTCCAGTCGGCTCGGCCTCCGCCCCCTGGTGGCCTGGAGAGACATGACAGCACATAGATGAGACTTCCTGCATCACTCCTGTTCAATAACACACACTGTTTCATTCAGTCAGTGGTGGAACGACAACATGTTTCAGTACCTCATCATTCAGTCAGTGGAACAACAACATGTTTCAGTACCTCATCATTCAGTCAGTGGAACAACAACATGTTTCAGTACCTCATCATTCAGTCAGTGGAACAACAACATGTTTCAGTACCTTTTCATTCAGTCAGTGGAACAACAACATGTTTCAGTACCTCATCATTCAGTCATTGGAACAACAACATGTTTCAGTACCTCATCATTCAGTCAGTGGAACAACAACACGTTTCAGTACCTCATCATTCAGTCAGTGGTGGAACAACAACATGTTTCAGTACCTCATCATTCAGTCAGTGGAACAACAACATGTTTCAGTCCCTCATCATTCAGTCAGTGGAACAACAACATGTTTCAGTACCTCATCATTCAGTCAGTGGTGGAACAACAACATGTTTCAGTACCTCATCATTCAGTCAGTGGAACAACAACATGTTTCAGTACCTCATCATTCAGTCAGTGGTGGAACAACAACATGTTTCAGTCCCTTATCATTCAGTCAGTGGAACAACAACATGTTTCAGTACCTCATCATTCAGTCAGTGGTGGAACAACAACATGTTTCAGTACCTCATCATTCAGTCAGTGGAACAACAACATGTTTCAATACCTCATCATTCAGTCAGTGGTGGAACAACAACATGTTTCAGTCCCTCATCATTCAGTCAGTGGAACAACAACATGTTTCAGTACCTCATCATTCAGTCAGTGGAACAACAACATGTTTCAGTACCTCATCATTCAGTCAGTGGAACAACAACATGTTTCAGTACCTCATCATTCAGTCAGTGGAACAACAACATGTTTCAGTACCTCATCATTCAGTCAGTGGTGGAACAACAACATGTTCAGTACCTCATCATTCAGTCAGTGGTGGAACAACAACATGTTTCAGTACCTCATCATTCAGTCAGTGGTGGAACAACAACATGTTTCAGTACCTCATCATTCAGTCAGTGGAACAACAACATGTTTCAGTACCTCATCATTTAGTCAGTGGTGGAACAACAACATGTTTCCGTACCTTACAGTAGAAGTAAAGGCCGACGGTCACCAGCAGCAGAGTCAGGAGCAGGACGACGGCTCGGATGATAAAAGGTCCTGGATCTGATGGAATACATGGACAGCATCACATCAAGAGTCAGCAAACACTCTGTAGAGACCTGAACCCTGAAATCACTGCAGCATGGAGTCATTTATAATACATAGCTGTATTAGTTACATTAAACTGATAGTACTCATGTTGATACTCCAATATAAACTAGAACTGATTAGACAATCAACCGGTTGGTGTGGAAAAATATGTGAAGGAATAATAAGTTGTCAGGAGTCTGGTATCCTGATGAACTGGACATTTTGTGGCAGCTAAAGCGTCATCTTCAAACACTTGGGAAGAAAAAGACAAAGTCTTCCAGAAGAAGACTCTAGAAGTCAGCAAACACTCTGTAGAGACCTGAACCCTGAAGCCACTTCAGCATGGAGACTCCTCTCTCTCTGATGTGGCCTCTGGTGAGACTTTAATATGTGGCCTGACATGTTTCCAGACCGTAGGAGAAGCTGCTGTCTCTCTTACATCCAGCAGTCAGTACTCAGGTCCAGACTCTAATGTAGACTAGACTTCACTGGAGAACCAACCGAACAGTGAGAAAACACAACAGATGAAACAAAGAGGCCTTTGTGCACGAGACCAGGACCATGAACCCTGACTGAAGGAGAGGTTCTGGTCCAGGTTCTGGTCCAGGTTCTGGTCCAGGTTCTGCTGGATTCTTGTTGTTCTGAATTTTCAAGTCATTTGGACAAAAGTGACAGTCAAATCAAATGTAATGTAATGGGTGCGACTGCTTCATGGACCGGTTCATAGTAAAACACCTTACTCTCAGATAACCAGCGTTATTATATATATTTACTTTATATAGCCTTATAAACTGTAACAGCTCACCTGTGACGGAGACGGAGAGCAGACGGCTCTCAGAGGAGAAGTTATGAGAAAAAACAAAGAGGTGATAAACACAGCTGTAGCTTCCCTGGTGGGCGGGCTCTGCAGAAGGAAACAGGAAGTGGGCAGAGTGATTGACAGCTGGCTCTGAGTAGTATTTGTTTGCTGAGTTGATGGAGGTGAAGTTGAGCTGGAAGGAGCCTCCTGGGTACTGTGGCTGGATGGAGCAGCTGATGGTGAAGGTGGAGCCTCTGAACACCTGGAACCCCTGCTGCTGGACCCCGGAGACCCCGTACGTGGAGGAGGACACAGAGATGTTGGGCTGAAACAGCAGATCTGGAGAGAGAGAGAGAGAGAGAGAGAGAGAGAGAGAGAGAGAGAGAGAGATAGAGAGAGAGAGAGAGAGAGAGAGAGAGAGAGAGAGAGAGAGAGCTAGAGAGATAGAGAGAGAGAGAGAGAGAGAGAGAGAGAGAGAGAGAGAGAGAGAGGTGAAGTGTCTGCTTTATGCTGATGACCTTGTTCTGCTGTCTCCTACTGAACAAGGACTACAACAACAGCTGGACATAGTAGACCAGTACTGTAAGAACTGGGCCCTGGCAGTCAATATGAAGAAAACTAATGTCATGGTTTTCCAAAAACACCCCAGATGTCAGGAGAACAAATACCAGTTTACCATAAATAATCATATCATTGAACATAGTATGAGTTATACCTACCTTGGTTTAACCATAACAGCATCAGGAAGTTTCAACATGGCAGTGAATGCACTCAAAGAAAAAGCCAGAAGAGCTCTAAATGCAATGAAGAGAACATTTGATCATTTCCAAATTCCAATTAAAATCTGGCTTAAAATATTTGATAGTGTGATCCAGCCCATTGCGCTGTACGGTAGTGAAGTATGGGGTCCACTCAGTCACCAGAGCTATATCCGCTGGGACAAACATCCAACAGAGTCTTTACATGTAGAATTCTGCAGATACATTTGACGTGTTCAGAGAAAAACACCAACAAATGCATGTAGAGCAGAATGAGGCAGATACCCTCTGATCATTAACACTCAAAAGAGAGCACTAACATTCTTTAACCACCTTGGATCCAGCCCCCGAGGCACCCTCCTCTCCAAAGCCAAGAGCTAACCCCAGAGAAGAGTCCCCTATGTCAGCTGGTGCTGAGGCTAACTGCCCCCTCTCACAGCCACTCTGACCAGTCTCTCAACAACACTGCTCTCCAAACACCAATCACAGTCAAACGCATTATAACACAATGTAAACACAACTATTTACAACATTGGAAAGAAGAAACTAGAAGCCAAAGTAGATTAGAATGTTACCTGGGTCTAAACAGAGATTATGAGCTGGCAGAATATCTCTCTACTGTCAGAGATAGAAAGCAGAGACAGATCCTAACCAAGCACAGGCTCATTGACCACAGACTGGCAACAGGAAGACTCAAAAGATCCTGGCAACCAAAAGAAAACAGAATATGTGGTCACTGTACGACAGGTGAGACTGAGACAGAGATGCACTTCCTCCTAAAGTGCCAAACATTCAACGAAATAAGGAACATTTACTGAAACAAGTTGAACCCTGTAATTCCAGGTTTCAAGGAGGTTAATGACCTCGAGAGAGAGAGAGAGAGAGAGAGAGAGAGAGAGAGAGAGAGAGAGAGAGAGAGAGAGAGAGAGAGAGCTCTCAAGACTGAAAATACTCCTAGGAGAAGGAGACAAGGCACATCTTGCTGCCCAATATGTATACACACACACACACACACACACACACACACACACACACACACACACACACACACACACACACACACACACACACACACACACACACACACACACACACACACACACACACACACACACACACACACACACACACACACACACACACACACACACACACACACACACACACACACATTCACCTTCAACAAAATGGCCTCGGAAAAAAGGACGTGACTAACAAAGAGACAGATGAACTGATGTCATAGATGATGTCACTGTTGGGCTTACCTGAGCAGGTGAGATTGAGGATGTCGTCAGAGGAACCTGATCCTGCACACTCCCTCAGAGCAGATCCAGACTGTACACAGTCAAAGCTGATCCCCCACACAGATCTGCCTGGGGACTCTATTCTCTGTCCCACAGAAACAGCAGAGCCACAGTCCAGCTCTCTGCAGGCAACACCTGCTGTCTTCAGGGTCCAGAGAGAGTTAGAGCCCCCCACTGGTCTCCATTCTCCCTGATGTTTCAGCTCCAGGTCTCCTGCACAGCGACTCTCTCCTCCCTCCAGTCTGACCTCATCAGGCTCTGAAGAGAAACAAGAGAGAGATCAGAGAGAGAATAAAGTGAGTTTGTCAAAGTCAGCCTCACACACTGAGGACCAGGACGGGTTAGACTGGTCAGAGTTCACCTCCAGTCTACCTGAGCACAGACTGGTCCCCCCCAGCAGCCTGACAGAGTCTGGAGAGGACAGAAGATAAAACTGAGAGAGGTCAAAGACACACAATAAAAGAGATGAAACAATATTTCAGATTCAAACTGGACTCAGTTCCAACATGAGTTCATGATGAACAACAGAACACTTCTTGATATCAGCACAGACTGCAGGTACCCTCACATCTACATCTGATACCCTCTAATGCTGCGTTCACACTGGACCTGCGAAGATTCACATCCCTCTCGTTGCTCGAGTTTCACCGCAGCTGTGTTTACTCGCGTCATTTAAACAGCACGCGCTGGAGAGGAGGCGGGGCTTATCTCCATGTAAATACTAGGGGTGGGCGATACCACAAATCTGGATTCGATCCGATACCAAGTATTTCAGGGCCAGTATCGCCGATACCGATACCAATACTTTTTAAAATGAAAAGCGTCTTATGTAGCTACTTTCATATAGGGGAGAGCTGCAGGTATGGGCATAGATATGTCTCATCATTATTTGTGTGAACAGAAAAATCATTTGTGTGTAAATATGTGATTTGTAAATGTAAAACACCATCCACAAATGCATTTAAAAGATTTGCAAACTCACAAATAAATTTGCAAATGTAAAACGGATATGCAAATGCGCAAAATATTTTCACAAATAAAAAAAAGATCTGTGAATATCTCTTTAACATTGACAACTTTCGATCAGGCATTTGTGAATCCATTTTGTATTTGTCAACCAAAAATGCGCTTGCGGATCTCAAATCTCTGCTCGTGGATCGTCTTTTTTACACACACGGAGTTTTGAGACAACTTTCCGCCGGTCTCGGCTAAAATCTACTCGTGTCATTCGGTTTATTTTCGGAAACCACGTGATGGCCTGCTGATGACGACATTTCCGCATGATTTCAAAGTAAGAGCATGATGGTTTGTTTAATGCGCTGTTTTTTTAATGAACAGCGGAACGTTAGATGCATTCTTCATCACCATCATCATCATGTTATAGTGATACAGTTAGTTTGTGTTAGTTTATTGGTTCAACTTTCTTCATTTTTTTTTGTGTATTCAGTCAAGCGGGTCAAAGTTACAAAGCACTTCACATCTTATTAATCGGCCTAGTTTTACCTTACCAGTGCAGATAAGGTCATCTGTAGAAAAGCACTGTATTTAGGTTAGCCTTCATAGTAAGGCTACATTAAATGTTATAATATTCATTGTGACCTTTCTACTGTATATGCATAATATATTCCTTTCTATTGCTTTTATTTGTGTTTAATGTTATTATTTTTATACTTGTTTCCACACATTTCACAATTTGGGATGAATGAAGTATCTATCTATCTATCCATCTATCCATCTATCTATCTATCTATCTATCTATCTATCTATCTATCTATCTATAACTAAACCAGTGGCTCAGAGAGAGGTGGAGCTGAAGAAGGAGTCCTTTCAGACTGGTTGGCCCCGGGGACTCCTGGAGCAGCACACATGTTTCATATACACACACCAGGGAGGGCCGTTTGGAGACAAGCAGTGTTTCCATATTCACTGGGAACTACTGCACCCTTTAGAAGATGTGAGAGATGATGTCATTGGTGGGCTTACCTGAGCAGGTGAGATTCACGGTGGAGGAAGAGGAAGCTGATCCTGCACACTCCCTCAGAGCAGATCCAGACTGAACACAGGCAGAGCTGATCCTCCACACAGATCTCCATGAGGACTCTCTCTCTTCCACAGAAACAGCAGAGCCACAGTCGAGATCTCTGCAGAGAACACCTGCTGCCTTCAGGGTCCAGAGAGAGTACAAGCCCCCCACTGGTCTCCATTCTCCTCCCTGATGTTTCAGCTCCAGGTCTCCTGCACAGCGACTCTCTCCTCCCACCAGTCTGACCTCATCAGGCTCTGAAGAGAAACAAGAGAGTGATCAGAGAGAGAATAAAGTGAGTTTGATGAGAACAGAATGAACCAATCACAGCTCCTCTCTACCTGAGCAGGTGAGGCTAACAGCTGTGCCAGGTGAGCAGGTGTTTCTCTCTGAGGCTGAGCTACAGTCCAGGAGAGCAGACTCATGGCCTCCACACTGGAACTCTTTGGTCCCCATTGGAGCCTCCCCTTCTCCATAGCGCGCCCCCTGGAGGACTGAAGGAGCCCCACAGCCCAGCTGCCGGCAGACCACCTGAGCATCCTGCTGGTCAAAGTCAGCCTCACACACTGAGGACCAGGACGGGTTAGACGGGTCAGAGTTCACCTCCAGTCTACCTGAGCACAGACTGGTCCCCCCCCAGCAGCCTGACAGAGTCTGGAGAGGACAGAAGATCAAACAGAGAGAGGTCAAAGACACAGAATAAAAGAGATGAAACAATATTTCAGATTCAAACTGGACTCAGTTCCAACATGAGTTCATGATGAACAACAGAACACTTCTTGATATCAACACAGACTGCAGGTACCCTCACATCTACATCTGATACCCTCTAATGCTGCATTCACACCGGATCTGCGAAGATTTGCATCGCTCTAGTTGCTTGAGTTTCACCGCAGCTGTCAGCTGTTTTTACTCGCGTCATTCAAACAGGACGTGCTGGAGAGGAGGCGGGGGCTTACCTCCATGTAAATATTATGGTAGATACAAACAACAACAACATGAACATATTACAGTAATTGTAATACACATTTCAAAATGATGCCCAAATAACTACATACTGATGCTGGTTAGAAAAAGCAGTTATTCATGTTATTGATAAGTGTTGCAGAACAAGACGGCAGAGGAACTCTTTTAAAAATGTTTTCTGCATGGAGATCAGGCTAAGCCAGGGGTCTGCAACCCGCGGCTCTTTCAGCCCTCTGCTCTGACTCCTATGAGCTTAGACAAAAATAAGAAGGAAATACAATACAAATATTTGGAGGAATATTTATATTTTGATGCACGGTTGAACATGTTTTGTATCTTGTATTTTGAGGTGATACTGTGACACATACATACTGAAACATCTTAGCTCTCCACACAAAGACTTTTCTGAGAGTTTCTGAAAACCAGAGACTCTGTTAAGAAAATGATTTCTAAAAAGTGAAAGTGATAGGGTCTGGACTGTCTCCATGTGAGGAGCCCCCCAGGGTGAAGGACTCCACTGTGGTGTGGAGATACTGAAGAGCCCGGCTGAGCTGATCAGAGCTGTGTTCAGGAGGTCTTGGTGCTGTTATGGTGGAACCCAAAGAACCTGCTGGTGGAACCCAGAGGCTCAGAGAGAGGTGGAGCTGAAGAAGGGAGTCCTTTCAGACTGGTTGGCCCCGGGACTCCTGGAGCAGCACACATGTTTCATATACACACATCAGGGAGGGCCGTTTGGAGACAAACAGTGTTTCCATATTCACTGGGAACTACTGGACCCTTTAGAACAGGGCTCTCCAACACGTCGATCGCGAGCTACCGGTAGCTCGCGGGCAGCTTTTCAGTAGCTCGCCGCTCGATTATCGATTATAGCGTAGTAAGGTTGCTTATTGATTTTTCGGCCGCGGCTGGACAATAACGTTTTTTTATTTTAGATTTTTTTCTGTCACACGAATATCAAATGGTCGGTGACGCAGAGATCAAGGAACAGACGTGACAGCAGCACAGCGACAACACACACGGAGCAGTCTGCTTTCTCACCAGCACGAGTCCAGAACCAACAGCAGAATGACCCCGCTCTGAATCAGGCCCTGTCGCTGCGCCTCAGAGACCACACAGGGAGGGATTTGTGTTTTTTGAAAAACACTCGTTATCGTCATGTCAGGTTTTGGTGGATTTAATCAAGTCTTGGATTGCAGAGTATGAATGTCCTCTTGCTATTTTCAGTTGATAAATACTTGTGTAAAGTTGTGAAGGCAGGAGGAAAGCTTCCGCGATCACCGTCTCCTCTCCGTTCCTCCAAACCCCGCCCCCTCCCTGAAAATAATGAGTGACAGGCTGATAGTGACCCGATAGAAACTTTATTATTCACTTAATCACTGATTGAGATATGATGAAGCTAACTTAATCTCATACATTCATGGGATTTATGTAACAGTAAGACAGAGAATGTAAGTGTGCAACCCACATGCACTATTTTTGTTTTTATAATGCTATTGTAAATACTCCTGCTGTTTTCAGACTCAAGTCATGTGTGTCTTTTTTTTAACAGAAGACCGTAGCTAGAAGCTGCAGCTAGACTGCAGAAGTATTAGTTTTTTTGTTTTTGAGGATGGAACCATTTTCACACACAGATATAGGGAGGCTAGACCTATACAATTGATTTATTATGGTTTATAATTTAATGTCAAGACGAAGAAGAAGAAGAAAAAGATGGCTGAACAACTGTTCAGTGTCAATCCTGTGGAGATCTCCAAAATAATGTTCAGCTTAAGTCTCAGCAAAACTCACAACATTTCTGGAGCCTTGTAGACCCAGAAAACTATAAGAACATTCACCAAGCAGCACTGAAAATGTCTGCTTTATTTGGTTCTGTTCTACATACCTTTGTGAAGCAGCTTTTTCTGACATGAATGAAATCTAAATACAGAACAAGACCGACTGATGAACATTTAAATGACTCTATTAAGTGAACCTAAGTGGGTCCAGCATACACCTCTATGGTGGACTGTATGCAGTGCCATTAATCTCACTAACAAAAGAGTGAAATGCTTGTAAGGTGGTGATTAAGGACACTTATGTGAATGTTCAGTGATGTACTTATTATGTGGGCCATAATAATATGTGAGAAATCTTCGTTTTCCTTGGACCTTATTTTTGATAAGCTTTAGGTATTGCAATTTCACACGTTGTACAAAAGTATAGCTTAATTCAACTGATGAGGGCTATGTGAATAAATGTAAGCGATGTGATGCAAGTAGCTCTTGGCCACTTTCATTTTTTGAAAGTAGCTCTCAGATGAAGAAAGGTTTGGAGACCCCTGCTTTAGAAGAATGTGAGAGATTATGTCATTGGTGGTTTCACTGATGGGCTTACCTGAGCAGGTGAGAGTGATGATGAAGGGAGAAGAAAATGATCTTGCACACTCCCTCAGAGCAGATCCAGACTGAGCACAGTCAGGACTGATCATCCACACAGGTCTGTATGAGGACACATATCTCATTGCTACAGAAACAGCAGAGCCACAGTCCAGCTCTCTGCAGGCAACACCTGCTGTCTTCGGGGTCCAGGGAGAGAGATAGCCCTCCACTGCTCTCCATTCTCCCAGATGTTTCACCTCCAGTTCTCCTGCACAGCGACTCTCTCCTCCCACCAGCTGAAATTGAGGCTCTGAACAGAAACAAGTCACGTACTTTAATTGTTTAAATCAGACGTGACAATTAACCATTAATATCAAATATTGTATTAAAAATGGAATTGCTCAAAATGGGACTGAATTTAAACGATCAGAAACCCTTTGATTGAGTAACAGAATGTGATTATTGGGAGCACCTGCTATCATAGAGACAATAGGATGATGAATGTAGTGTTATTGTGAGGTCAAACTGGAGCTCTGTATGGACCAGGACCGAGAACACACGTTGTTTAAAAGCTATAGATATACAGTGGAGGAAAGAAGTATTTGATCCCCTGCAGATTTTGTAAGTTTACCCCACTTACAAAGAAACAAACAGTTTTATAGGTAGGTTTATAAAAACAGTGAGAGTAAGAATATCAAAAAGAAAATCCAGAAATTGACATTATATAAAAGATTAAAATGTATTTGCATTTAACTGTGGCTCCCACAGACCGGCTACATAAGTCCTCTTCTTTTAAAAAAGTACTCCTAATATCAACTTGTTACCTGTAGAAAAGACACCTGTCCACAGAATCTATCAATCAGATTCTCTCCACCATGGGCCAGACTAAAGAGCTCTCTAAGGACCTCAGGGACCATATTGTAGACCTGCTCAAGGCTGGGATCGGCTGCAGGACCACCAGAAAGCAGCTCGGTGAGGAGTAGACCACTGTGAGAACTAGAAAATGCATTTCCTGCAGAAAATGCGTGGTGAATGCTGTAAACTGTGAACATTTGTGGCTGAATTTAGCTGAAAATGCAGAAAAAGCTGAATAATGTAATAGTTGAATGGTTCTGCAGCTGAAAATAGGCTGAAGGAGTTAAATATCAGATGTAAGTAGTAGTGAATTAATTTGTATTAAGATGAGAAAGAAAGTAAAAAGGCTTGGGAAAGCAGCAGAATATTTGAACTACAAACTTTTGAACTAACTTGATGGTGAATTATCTGTCGCCATGGCAACGGCATTTGATGACACCCCATAATACGCTTAGATGTGTTGATGGCTGCATCGTTACCAAATCTGTGAAGTTTTGGGCCATTTCGAGCATTTTCACTGAAGCTATGAGAAAAACCGTGTTTCATGTTGAGCATTGTGTTGCCATGGCAACGGCCATTTGAAGAAATCTCAAAACTGTCCCGTAGATGTGTTCACGGCTGGACTGTTAGCACACATGTGAAGTTTGAGCACTTTTTGAATATTTCTCATAGGAGTTCTACATTACATTAGGATGTTACATTTACTCTCTCTCTTCTATTGATCGCCCTCTCCCTCTCTCTTCTCTCTCTTCTTCTCTGCTCGCCCTCTCTCTCTTCTCTTGGATCGCACTCTCTCTTATCTTGATCGCCACTCTCCTCTCTCCTCTTGATCGCCCTCTCTCTCTTTCTCTTGCTCGCCACCTCCTCTCTTTCTTCTCTCTTCTCTTTGCTCGCCCTCTCTCTCTTCTCTCTGATCGCCCTCGCTCTCTCTCCTTGATCGCCCCTCTCTCTCTTCCTCTTTGATCGCCCCTCCCCTCTCTCTCTTCTCTTGATCGCCCTCTCTCTCTTCTCTTCGATCGCCGTCTCTCTCTTCTCTTGATCGCCCTTCTCTCTCTCCCTTCTTGATTTCCCTCTCCCTCTCCTCTTGATCGACCCTCTCTCTCTTCCCTTCTTGATCGCCCAACTCTCTCTTCCTCTTGATCGCCCTCTCTAATACGCCTCTTTGCATCGCCCCTTCTCTACTCCTCTTGACTCTCTCTCTCTCTCTTGATCGCCCTCTCCCTCTCCTCTTGATCGCCCACTCTCTTCCTCTTGATCGCCCACTCTCTCTCCTCTTGATCGCCCTCTCTCTCTTCTCTTGATCGCCCTCTCTCTCTCTTGATCGCCCTCTCTCTCTCCTCTTGATCGCCCTCTTCTCTTCTCTTGATCGCCCTCTCTCTCTCCTCTTGATCGCCCTCTCTCTCTCTTGATCGCTCTCTCTCTCTCTTGATCGCCCTCTCCCTCTCCTCTTGATCGCCCACTTCTCTCCTCTTGATC